AGAGAGAGAGAGAGAGAGAGAGAGAGAGAGAGAGAGAGAGAGAGAGAACGCACACACCGTGAGGCGATAGCTGTATTATTTATCAACAACACTGAAGGTCTGCACAGCTGCCAGTGGGTCCCAGAGTCAGTCTTCCGGTGCCCCCCCACCCCACCCCATGGCCCAGCTCAATTCATTCGAGAACACTCCTCCAGTTGTGGCTTATTCCTCTCAGTAAGAGTCCGCTCTGAGAGAGATGGCCCTCGGGAGAAATCATTCCAATGAGACCCGACAGTTAGTTATTGGATTACACGTGCGGGGAAATGTAGTCTGACCCCGGACAGGGTCTGCAAAGAGAGCTGCAGGCTGAAATAGGCCTGACCACACAAGGGCCAGTGGCCTGGCCCAGAGGGAAGGAGATGCACACCAGGGGAGCAAATGACAGGCACAGCACTCACTGCACCAGTCCTGAGAGGACTGTGTTTGCCTTGTGTCTGCTAGAGAGCCTGGGAATACCGGAGGGAAGGCAAAGAAGAGAGTGCAGGGCCCAGTAAAGATGCTACGAAGAGCCTTGTTGAACTAGTGGGGTCTGGCCTCCTGGGGGTGGGGTGCCTGCACTGGCTCTTAGTGCCCTAGTGCACGGGGACTGCCCCTGTTGGAGACTGTTGGTGGGTCTGAGGAACAGAGGAAAGGGCGGGTGCTGGGGGGAGGGGGCTGGCCCCAGACAGTGACCTGAAGTTGAGTGGAAGCAGGCTTTTTCCATCAAACCCTGCCTGGATACCACACACAGAGCTCGAGTGTCAGTTTACTGCCCTGAGCCCGGCTCCTTTTCCCTAAGCTCCACAGTAATTAGACAAAGAAAACCTAAATTAGCTGAACAGGCGTCGACAGCTTCCTCCAGAGCACCCCTGGTACCTACATGGGAATGTGTCCGAAAATGGCCCGATTGTAGCCCAGAGTCAGCTAAGAAAACACCGCCAAGCAGAACTGAGTGGACCGCTCATTTGCAAGAGAAAAAAGAAACAAGTCGCTCTTTTCCGGAAGGGATGTTTTGATTGGGTTGGGGGTTGAAGTTGCTTCGACTTTCTAAGAATTTCTTTTTGACTGACTAGTGAACATTTGGGGGGCAAATCCCCTTTTATTTCATGCTGATCCCCTGTCCCTCTTTGTCATTTGGCCTGGTCTGATTTTTTTTTTTTTTTGATGAGACTTAATATGGAAGCAAATATATACTCAATAAACCGAAGTTCTAAGTGTCTGAAAAGAATTGCTTTAGATGAAGCAGAAATTGGGTGGAGGATGGGAATGGCCCAAAGGATCCTGTGGGGAGACTTCCGTGTTGGTAAATATGTTTTTGCGTGAGTGTGTATGTAAGAGGGCAAAACATTGGTTCAGGAAGAAGAGTGAGGAGGAGAGGGGTGGTATTTTTTGTAGGCAGGCTGCATGTCTGAGAAACTTGTATGAAGTCAGTACTGTGTCAGTACTGTGGTCAATCAGCTATCCACCTGTTCTATTTCTTGCACCTGGGGACTCTGAATCTCATTCCCTCATGGTACTTGCTTTTAAAAACTGGCCTTAAAAGTTTTAGGTCTGAAGAGACTGAAGGCACTAAGCCGTTTAAAGTCAAGGCAAGGTCTGATAACCTTCCACGTCATTAGCTCTTAGCTGGGAGACAGAGTTCTTTTCTAATGGGTACCTGAGAGTTTTTACAAGTGTTATACTTTCTAAAAAAATCTCAATGTATTTTTACCCTCTACTGATTCAACTGGTTACGTTATAATAGGTTTTTAAAAGAGTCCTTTTATCATCCAGGTACCAATCACATGTTACTGCGATTCTCTAAATCTGTAACAAATGGCTCTTGTAGTCTACAAGTAGGTCTTAGACAGTGGGCAGTGGCGAACAGCCCAGGACAAGGCAAGATCTGCAAACTTGAAGTCTACCTCATTCTAGTATACCAGCCGCCTTCCCAACTCCAGAAAGACAGGGAGCTTGGTGGCGAGCTGTTGGGCAGGAAGAGATCTCCAAAACTTGTTCTTGGAGATCCCATGTTCAATGGTTCTTTGAGGCTGCCCAAGGGCAAGTATTCTAGCTGGCTTGGGGAGGAAGTGGCGCTAGGACTCCAAATTCAGTGTTCTTTACTCTTTATTGCAGCTAAACTTCTGTGTTTTAGTCATGGATGTGTCCAAATCTCTTGGGAAAGAACACAGCTGACTGCAAATTAGGTCCAATTCTTTCTCTCGGCAAGAGTATCTGATTCTGGTGGGCAGGCTTTTGCTTATTTGTTTACTTTTGCTGCTTTGGAGATCGAGGCAAACAAGGGAGGCTCTCTACCTGAGTCCCAGTCCCAGCCCCAGCCCAGCCAGGGTTTACATGGACATCTCCTTGCTGATTTGTTTAAATTGGTCCCACTCTCTTGGAGGGTCCCTTCTTCTGGTGTGAGTCCTCCTCACGGATTCTAGTACCTATAAGCAACACAAAAGTCTTGATTTTTCTTAAAAATGGAGACATACAGGTATGTTTCATTAAATGATTCTAGATCAGCCCACGGGCTTGTTCTTTAACAAAGAACGAGAGAAAAAGAGAAAAGAAGAAAAGAAAAACCACACAGCTTAGAATTGTCCTCATTCCATAGATATTGGGTTGGTCAACTGTCTCCATCTGGGCTGTGGGTTCCTTTCCTCTTCCAAACCCATAGGGTACCACCCCTGCCCCAGAGCAAGGGAATGTAAACTTAGAGAAAATTGGATTTCTCTCATTTTGTTCTGCAATCCACACTTTATTCTAGGAAATCGCTCCATTGTTGTGGTTTAAAACTTTTCTTAGCATGTTTCCTTTGTTTCGTGGGTTTTACATGAATTGGCTTAGACTAAACCCGTAGAGATAGGAGAGACCAATCTACACTAGCCATATTTAAAGACATTCAGGACCCGTCTTGGGTGAGCTGGCATGCTCTGCCCCTTTCTTTTCCTTCAGCCTGAGCCTGGCTGGGGAGAATCCATCATTTTTACCATGTGTTTAGGTCCGTGCTTAGGTTTTTGAGCGCCCACTATGCCTTTCAATAATTGCTTGTGACACAGGGTCTGGGGTTTGCTTGGGTAGTCTTTGCCTGCTGCCGCCCACTGCCCAGACCTTTAAAAATCAGCCAGTGCAGCGTTGTGCTTTGTGGTGTTAGGGGATTGCTTCACCAGCAGGGATCAGAGAGAAGAACTTAATCTGGACGGCATAGCTAACAATTTTGAATATCCTTTATAGTCTGCCCTCTTTCCTTGGCCAAGAACGTCTATACTCCTCGGTAGGAAAGGTAAGAGCCAGATTTTATTAGGATTCATCCTTCACTCCAAGGGCGTGTGTTGTGTTCTCTTAAAAATCACCTTCCTCAAAGATCAGCCTACAGTGCCACAGCTCGGAGTCTGGCTATAGGCAAGACTCTGAGTTGGCCTGGTCAGAGGTGCTTAAAGGGGGAGAACAAAGGGTTAATCTACCAGACCAACCCCCCTTCCACCAAAACAAAACAGCAACAAAGCCCTAGGCCTCTTCCAATCCATTTCTAGATGACCAGAGTGAGAATCCCACGTCTTCTGCATCTGAATGTCCCCAGGAACCTGCCTCCACAGTGCCCACTCTCACTCTCACCCTTTGCAGGCAGGAACAAATGGTATTTAGGTTTCTACAGCCTGCTGTGTTTAGGGGTGGAGGTGCCAGGGGCACAGGCCAGGGCATCTCTCAAGGGAAGATGAAGAAGCCGGGAGGTCTGTATTTCCTATCTGGGAAGAGAGTGTGGGTGCAGACGTCCCGCAGTCACGTTGATTCTGCGACCTTTTGTACAGCTGGAAGCAAGTATCTGCTGCCTTTAGGGGGCTGGATCTAGCTTTGAGATTATCTAGAAACCTGTGGGAGACTGGAGGCCTTATGGGCCTGACCTACAGCAGCAGGCGCTCTCAGGAGCGGCCACCCTGCCCTAGGTTGTGGCTTTTCTTGGGAGTTCTCGCACCCCTCCCCCCTTTTAGAGTTTTCTCAACCCTCTCCTTCCACCTCGGAGGTGGCTATGGTGTCTGGCCATTCGGGAAGCACTGCACAGCCAGGAGGG